CAGAGCCCATAGAAATGCATGGTACAGTGGTGCGCGTCTTAGCAACGTGGAACGTCTGTGACGTAGCTCCGCCCCTGAGGATACGTCAATTTTCACAAAAGAATGCTGCTTCATGTTACACAGAACTATAGCTCCATTGGTGTACATACTAAACCAATTAATAGTGCCATGCGATTCATAACCAATTTTCTTATAATAAATTATAAGTACCGGTAGGCTTCACAGTTTTTTTTTTTTTTTTTTTTGGCAAGTTTAGACTGTTTGCCCTTAAATATATTTATGCTTTTTACGAAAGTTGTCTCCGATTTGTTGAACTTTATTGTCGAGAAGTCGGTATAAACATGTTCGTCATACTCGTTAGTACCAATGATTGTCCACGGCTTTTTATGTGTGTGTCATCGTTGCAACGAAGTACAAACATTACACAGGGCTACGGATTCGGTCGTAAAATGGAATAGTAAAGAATTTTATTGTGTACATATTTTGGCCCACGTTTTTTTAAATACATACAACCAATCAGACTTCGAAGAATCGGGTTGTAAGTCATTCATTATGCTCATGAACTTCCCATGATTTTTACATGAGAATTTTATGAAATTTAGCCGACTGACGACCATTTTCGTCAATAATAAAATCACAAAATTTAAACATGCCAATCAACTGTTTCTCAGCAATACCTCCGTCTATTTCATTTAGACTTGGTATGAACATTACTCACTGTATGTTACTGTGCGTTTGTTTAGTGGATTAAAAAATGGCCGATTGGCGACCACTTTTACTGGTTTTGCTGGCGTTTTTCAGAGATATTTTTAAAACTGAATTGGCATCACAAAAAAAACTCATTAAATAATGAAATTTTAACACGTCGTCAACTGTTTCAACTGATTTTATACATACTTTGTATGAACATCACTCATGGTGGGTTATTGGTGCACGTCAGTTTGTTATGCCATTTGATTCAAACTGGTCGACTGGCGGCCATATTGCTTTTATTTTCACATGCGTTAACTGATTTTGATATGGACGAAACACGTGATTATTTTGTTTTGTTATTTGATTCATAATGTCCGACTGGTTTATGTGTGGATTATAATTTTTTTTGAGACAAGAGAAAGTATCTTTTTAACTGAACAAAGCATGGATGCCATTTGAAATGATACCACATTTTGCTGATTACTCCCCACTAATTTAATCATAATATATCTACACTTTTCAATGTATATAATCAACACAGTAACTAAAAACTGAACGGTGGCTATGCCATTTACTTTATAGTGAAACTGTGAAAACATATACCCAAGTGCCACCTTTGTACATGTATATTATTTATGCATATCGTGACCCAATTCTTAGATTTCATAATGACGAATTGTGATCTTGGTTAGCACACCCATACACACATGCATGATTCCAACTGCTAAGGAATAACAATTAGTTACGTATTGGGATTTTACTGTAACACGTGACGAATTCATCATTCCTTGGCGTTTACATGATACAATTACAGCAATTAACTATGAATATGCACTGAGTACAGATAACCCGGATAAACCATTTCCCTGGTAGGGTAGTTTCCTGACGAGTGTGATGAGAATGCGTGTTCACTGCGTTAAATTGTAATGCTGACTGGGAGAATGTTTTTCTAACATGTAATAGAAATTGGCTCACTATGAAGATTCGTTTTTCTAAGTTAAAGAAGCTGAGTGATTTTTCACCCATCACGTTATCGTGATTTGTACGTGTTATAAAAACTGTTCACACCTGACTGTAAATGAGATCATCCAGCGA